CCCCTCTCAATCCCCCCCCCTCTCGATAACACTCTAGAATACATACCGTTAACCCTCATTCTCCCTCTCTCTCTCCCTTACAGCCAAAAGACGACTTCCTCCCCCTCCCCAACACAAAAAAACACCAACACAGAAAAAAACCCCAACAAAAAACAAAAAACAAAAAACAAAACAAAACAAAACAAAACAACCCTCTCATTCCGTCCCTCTCTCCGCCACTTCCCAGTTTCATTGACACTTTAGAACTTATGGCCAGGTATTGTATCGGCCTTAATGATTGCTCTTTCGTTTTATCGCCTCATTGCCTGCTTGTGTGAGTCCCAGTAGAGAGGGGCAGGTCGACACGATAACGGCCGTTTAGAGCGCGGAAAAAAGCAAGAGAGAAACAATAAAGAGAAAGTAAAGACGCAGAACCTACTAATGACACCCTCCAACCACCTATATTGACTGATACATAAGAGAGAAAGTTATGAAATAGGACCTACCTGTGACACCCTCCAACCCCTTCAACGAACAGATAAAACAGTTTGACCTACCAGTGGCGCCCCTTCAACCACCCTCACAGACAGAGATTTAAGAGAGAAGGTTAAGAAACAGGACTCACTTGTTACATCTTCCAACCACCTATATAACATACATAAGAGAGAAAGTTGAGAAATAGGACCTTCTAGTGGCACCCTCTAACCACCCACACAGACAGATACATAAGAGAGAAAGTTAAGAAATAACAAGTGGCACCCTCCAACCACCCACACAAACAGATAAAACAGAGGGTAAGTAAAGCAGTTTGACCTATCGGTGGTGCCCCTTCAACCACCCATACAGAGAGAGACATAAGAGAGAAAGTTAAGAAACAGGACTCACCCGTGACATATTCAAACCACCTACACAGACAAAAATCAGAGAGAAAGTAGAGAAATACGACCTACCAGTAGCCTCCTTCAACCACCCATACAGAGAGAGACATAAGAGAGAAAGTAGAGAAATACGACCTACCAGTAGCCTCCTTCAACCACCCATACAGAGAGAGACATAAGAGAGAAAGTAGAGAAATACGACCTACCAGTAGCCTCCTTCAACCA